CATTCATTCATTCATTCATTCATTCATTCATTCATTCATTCATTCATATTTCATACTTCTTAACTGTCCGTCTCCCTTAGAGAGGCTTCTGGGCTGGTTTAATAAAATTAAACATTAAAATCAGAATAATATTTAAAATTATACAACAACATTGTCTCTGTCAGGATTCCGGCAGTAACACCAATTAAATCATGAGTCTCAAACCAAAACTTCAAAAAGATTTATTGGGAGTTAACATGTCCGGCACTGCCTGTGTATAGCTGACTCTGAGACACCTAATTCATTATCACCTTGATCCTGGTTTTTCCCCAACCCCTGGTTGTATCATAATTCATATTCTCCAATGAGACACATCCATAGCTAAGACTCATCAATCATGTTCTCCAGTTAGATATTTGCACAGCAGAAAATTCAGTCACCTAGTTACTATCTTTAAAAAACTATTTATGGAATGCATTTTTGATTTCCAAGCTGCCACACTGCTCTTTCAAACCCTTTTCCCTCCTCCCTTTCTGTTGGCAACTCTAAAAAGACCATAGAAATATTTTATGAGTTGACATTCTCCTGCTTTTTCCTTATGACTCTTTTCAGAGAAGAAGATGAAAAAATCAGATTGTGGAGAATGGCAATGGAGTGTCTGTGTGCCTACAAGTGGAGATTGTGGCCTTGGAACCCGTGAGGGAACTCGGAGTGGCATTGATTGTAAGCAGACAATGAAGACTCAAAGATGTAAGATTCCCTGCAACTGGAAGAAGCAATTTGGAGGTAATGCCCATGGGGTTTTGATTAATCATTATTAGAGATTAATCTTTTTTTTAAAAAAAAAAAACTTGCAATTTGGAATAAAAAATCCCCTTTAGTAAGCCAAAATTTAAATATTTAATATTTAATAGAAGTATTAAAACACAACCAACATCAAGGCATCTATTTATTTAGATTACTTAAACCTGTCTTTTTCAATGTTGAAACATATTAGAACATCATCATCCAGAATTCCAGTCAATGGCCTGGAAAGACAGAAAGGCAGGAAAACAGGAAGATGAGAGAAAGGAAAGAGAAAGAGAGAGAAAGGAGCAGGAAGACAGAGAAACAGAAAGAGAGGAAGATGAAAAAACAGAAAGGGAGGAAGACAGAGAAATGGAAAGAGAAGAAGACAAGAGGAGACAAAGAAAGAAAGAGAGAAAGAAAGAAAGACAGGAAGACAGGGAGGCAAGAAAGAAAGAAAAGCAAGCAAGAAAAAAAAGTCAGCAAGAAAGAAATCAACAACCAAGCAAAAACAAAAGAAAGACTGAAAGAAAGAAAGAAAGAAGGAAAGTCAATCAGAAAAAAGAAATTTCCAGCAGGCAGATAGGTAGATAATTCAGTCTCCCATTTATATTAAAAACTTATTATTCTGTTTAATGAGTTTGATAGTAGTGAATGATTGATCCAAACATTTAGTACAAGGGTCTTCTTTAAAACTTGTGGACTTCAACTCCCAGAATTCCTGAGCTAACATGACTGGAGGAGGAATTCTGGGAGTTGAAGTCCACAAGTTTTAAAGCTGTCAAGTTTGAAGACCCCTGATAGCATGCGGTATATTCAATCAGGCAGGGAAATATATTTAGCAAACTTTCATTCCTCTCTTCAAGTTACCAAGAAAGATGAATGAAAAGGAAAGGAAAGGAAAGGAAAGGAAAGGAAAGGAAAGGAAAGGAAAGGAAAGGAAAGGAAAGGGAAGCTTATTTGGAGTATTTTATGGTGTGTGTGTTGTATAAAGGTAGCCCCCAAGTTATGACCACAATTGAGCCCAAAATTTTTCTTGCTAAGCAAGACATTATTAAGGGAATTTTGCCTTATTTTATTACCTTTCTTGCCACAGTTGTTAAGTGAACCACTGCAGTTGTTAAGTTATTAGCATGGTTTTAAGATATGTCCAGCTTCCCTATTGACTTTGCTTATCAGAAAAATAGAATAGAACAGAAGAGAACAGAACAGAACAGAATAGAATAGAATAGAATAGAATAGAATAGAATAGAATAGAATAGAATAGAATAGAATAGAATAACAGAGTTGGAAGGGATCTTGGAGGTCTTCTAGTCCAACTCCCAATTAGGCAGGACACCCTACACCACTTCAGACAAATGGTTGTCTAATCTCTTCTTAAAAACTTCCAGTGTTGGAGCATTTACAACTTCTGGAGGCAAGTTGTTCCACTGATTGATTGTTCTAACTTTCAGGAAATTTCTCCTTAGTTCTAGGTTGCTTCTCTCCTTGATTAGTTTCCACCCATTGCTTCTTGTCCTGCCCTCAGGTGCTTTGGAGAATAGCTTCTCTTCAGTCAAGCTATTCAGTCAAGCAAGATAAGTTGCAAAAGGTGATCACATGACCCTGGGACACTTCAACCATCATAAAAAAACTTGTCAGTTGTCAAGCATCCAAATTCTGATCACATGACCACTGGGATGCTGCAACAGACATAAATGTGGAAAATGGTTATAACTCACTTTTTTCAATGCTATAACTTCGATCACTAAACAAATATTGTAAGTCAAGAACTACCTATAAAGGCATAACCATAAATTCGCTTCTGAACCTCTAGCACTTATGTATTACCCCAATGGCTAATGACATAGAAGCATAGAAAGCATAGAAAAATTACAGATTTTGCAGTTTTCAATACAAGAAAGAAAAATTTGATCCAGAACTTATTGGCAGTTGACTAATATTGCTCAGCTCAATTGCATGTCTCTTCCTCTTGTAGCCATCTGGGCTTGAAGAATTTCTGCTTTGCCTCTTCCAGCCCAAGAATTTTGATTTTTGTTCTTCATACTCTTCCATGTGGGAACAATCTTCAGCATATCTGGCAAGATGGGGAAGTGTATTTTACTCCTCTGGATGTATACTTGCTCTAATTATGCCACACACCTATCTCTGTAAGTTACAAGGACAATTTGTATGAGCTTCCTCCATAGTCTTGGTCTGAAGATCATGATATGACCTGTATTTTGTGCAGAATTTTAATTGGCATCCCATGAAGGTGGCTGAAAAAAAAAGTGGGAATTGGAATGGTGATGCTACCCCATGCACTTTTTGCCTCAGTGAAATAAATTGATAAAAGTAAAAGGTAAAGGTTTACCCTGCCCAGTTGTGTCTGATTCTAAGGGGCGATGCTAATATCCTTTTCTTAGCCCAGGAAGTCAGCATTGTCCAAAAATATGATCATACACTGCACAGAACGCCATTACCTTCCTACCTAAGTGATACCTATTTATCTATTTGCATGCTTTAAAACTGCTAGGTAGGCAGCAGCCTGGGGCAGATAACAGGTATTCACACTGTCTCGTGGAATTTGGGTCTTGAACTTGGACTGTCCGAGCAGTCCAAGCTTTCCAAGCTTGGCATCCTTAATCCCTGACCCACTGTGCCCCTAAAATAAGTTGATGCAAAGTATTATTCTAAATCAAGAGTAAAAACAAGCATACTTGTAGTTAAAGTAAAATATCAGATAAAATATCTCCCTAAAGAAAATCACCAGAGAAGGTACCAAAGTAATCTCCCAAGTCAAGGAGTTCCACTGTTTAATGTGGCCACCACCATTTCCACACTTTGGAGCTGCAATCCCTGCCTTTTCTAAATGGCAAAATAACTCTTGAGAGTTGATGGGGGTGAGAAAACATGATTAAAATCTTGGTCTGGAGAAATCCTGAATAGAATAGAGCTGGAAGGGACCTTAGAAGTCTTCTAGTCCAGCCCCTGGCTCAAGCAGGAGAACCTATACCATTTCAGACATGTGATTACCTAGTTTCTTCTTAAAAACCTCCAGTGTTGAAGCATCCACGATTTCTGGAGGCAAATTGTTCCACTGGTTAATTATCCTTACTATTATGAAATTTCTCCTTCATTCCAGGTTGCTTTTCTCTTTGATTAGTTTCCAACCATTATTTTTTGTCCTGCCCTCTGGACAATTATCTGAAATTATTGCAGAATAGTGAAAAGTTTCCACTGGTTCTGTCAGAGTGGCTGAAGTTACAGCTACCTATCACAAGGGATCCTGAGGAAGATGATGTCTTGTTCTGTAATGAATGGATAAATTATGTCATCAGTGCATTGTTAACTCATAGGGACCACATAAATAGAGCTTGTCCAGGATGGTTCATTTTGAGACTGGCCTTTCACATCTTCCAGTGGTGCATTCATTTCCTCTGTAATTGGATTATTCCACCTTGCTACTGGTCAATCTCTTCTTTCTTCCACCAATTCCAGGTTTACATTTGTTCCTTACAATCTGAATAACAGTTGATCATCCATACACGAAATATAAATTTACACAGCTCCTCAGCATTCTATGGACTACACAGGATTCAGAGGGCTTGTAGACTATCCCTAACACAGGGGTGGGATTCTACCAGTTCACACCTATTCTCTAGAATCGGTTGTTAACATTCTAAGCAGTTTGGAGAACCAGTTGTTAGAAGAAATTACTGGCCTAATCCTGTAAGGAAGGCAGGAAGGAAACATTTTGATGTTGCTTACAGAAACTGCCTCTCCATTAACCCTTATTATGTCCTTGGCAGGACTAGACTTCCTGTCTCTGGAACTTCTCTGGAGTTTTTTTCCCCTCCTTTGCTTGTGTGGAGTGACCATTCAAAGTTACAATGGCACTGAAAAAAGTGACTTATGACCATTTTTCACACTTACGACTGTTGCAACATCCCCACAGTCATGAGAGGCCAGGCGAGTAGATGCGTGCCTTGATGTGAGTGATATTGAGTTGGCCACACCCAGCCAAAAACATGACCACCAAGCCATGTCCACCCAGTCACATGAGCACCAGCCATGACCACCAACTTAGCCATGCCCACAGAACCGGTTGTTAAAAAACTTGAATCCAACCCCTGCCCTAACATCAAAAGCTTCACTGAAATTCAAAGGTGAAAGGATTATAGTGTCAAAGTGATAATAGACTCCATGTTTTTTTAAAATAAATAGAGGACAATTTGCACACTGATTTACAGCCAAAGTTTTATTCTTATTATTCCATCATCTGCAATGGGGAACCAGGGATTTGATTATGTTGTAAAATATGTCCTTTCCACCTTCTTGTTCACCATTCTTGTGGCTTTCCCTTTTGATCTTTCCTCCCATTCATCTATCCATAGCACAAACATGCCATAGCAGCATTTTCTCCAGCCTCATTCTCAAGGTACTGCTCATTTTCAACCCATGAATGAGTCAGATTGAAGGTGTCTTTAGATATATCAATGTTAAAGTAGTAACTTCCCCATTATTTGAACAGCATCCAAGGTTGGCCTCAAGGCATGCAACATATATTTTTTAAAAAAATCCATGACCTTGGAGAAAAAACAAATGACTAGTGGTAGAGTGGCAGGATAAAGTTAGCAAACAGAAACTTTGCCACCACAATATTACCAGACAAATCCAATTACAGCACAATTGAAAGTTCTACTCTATTATAGAAATCTTCAAGATGGGTGGTGAGTTTTTAGCTTCCTACCTTGTTTTCTTGACCCGACCCCTTTCAAATTTTGTATTTGCAGTTCTGTCATAGTGAATCCACTTCATCATCTAATGAAAGGATATGTTCCCAAAAAGTTACCTAGTCTTGAAGGTGCTACCAATGTCTAAGACTTTGTGGAGAAGAAGGATAATTCATGTGGCAGGGGCATTTGGGTGGGTGGGGTGGGGTTAATTCTATAAGAGTGAATTCATCTTTATAATTCCCCTTTTAATTCTATTCCCCAGAAAATTATTTGACTGGTATCAGACTTTGTTATCAGTTGAAGTGAATAAACGTAGGATGAGCTCTTTCCCAATTCTTTAGTAGAGTCAAAAAGGTTAATAGATGTATACCTGGATTCGATCATTTTCACAGTCTTGATCAACAGTGTCTCTGGGATGGGGGAATTATCAACAATGTCAAGATGGTGGCCAGAACTTTGTAGCTGAAACCTTTCCCCATACATACACAAAGAAGGGCAGGGCCTTCATCACATGGCTGTGGCTACTCTCTTTTCTGACAACCCACCCCTACCACCGATTCTTTATTTTATTTAGTTGTGTGTGTTTAAAGGGTTATCCCCCACCCTCTCTCATAGTTTATTATTCACTTATTTTTCCTGGATTCTTCTAATTCTCACTATTTCTTTTTTCCTCCTTTGACTTTGTTTTCCTCTATCCTACCTTTTTACTCTTTACAATTGAAAACAAAGATTAGCTTTTCAATTTTACTTTGTTACTATATCATCATTTCTGTTGTTCCTCCTATTTGTTTTATATATATATATATTACACTGGCTCAGTGGCTAAGATGCTGAGCTTGTTGATCAGAAAGGTCAGCAGTTCAGTGGTTCGAATCCCTAGCACCGCATAACGGAGTGAGGTCCCGTTACTTGTCTCAGCTTCTGCCAACCTAGCAATTCAAAAGCATGTAAAAATGCAAGCAGAAAAATAGGAACCGCTTTGGTGGGAAGGTAACAGCATTCCGTGCACTATCGGCATTTAGTTATGCCGGCTACATGACCACAGAGACATCTTTGGACAGTGCTGGTTCTTCAGCTTTGTAATGGAGATGAGCACCACCCCCTAGAACTGGAAACGACTAGCACGTCTGTGCGAGGGGAACCTTTACTTTTATTTTATCTGGATTCTATAAAGGGATTAAGGTCCATTTTGACAGAATATGGAATAACAGAGTTGGAAGGGTTCTTGGAGGTCCTCTAGTCCAACTCCTTGCTCAAGCAGAAAACTCTATACCATTTGGGACAAACGGCTGTCCAATCTCTTCTTAAAAACTTCCAGTGTTGGAAAATTCACAACTTCTAGAGGCAAGTTGTTCCACTGATTAATTGTTCTTACAGTCAGGAAAATTTCTCCTTAGTTCTATGTTGGATTCCTCCTTGATAATCTTCCATCTGTCACTTCTTGTCCTGCCCTCAGGTGTTTCGGAGAATTGGTTGATCCCCTCTTCTCTGTGGCAAACCCTCAAATACTGGAAGACTGCTATTATGTCAGCCCTAGTCCATCTGTTTGTTAGATAGAAATACTCAGTTCCCATAACCATCCATCATATGCTTTCGCCTCCAGTCCCCTTTATTGTTCTTCTCTGCACTCAGCATCTTTTTTGTATGGTGGTGACCAAAACTGGATGCAGACTTAGTCTTAGACTTAGAAGACTCAGAATAACTTTATTGTCACTTTAAATGTACACTAATCGGCATGCATTAAAATGAAATTTTGTTGCATACCTCTAATATACACTACATAAACATGACAAAAATATGAAAATATAAAAAATAATAATCAATAAATTTATAAATATGCATATGTCCACATACCCAAACATATTATATGCCACAGAGAAACAACACAGTCTAGTTTGGATGTATACATGTACAAGGCGAGAAAAACTAATCTTGCGAGTTCACCAGACAGATGGCATAAGGAGCAAAGTTGTTACAGAATTGGGTAGACCTGCTAGAAATACTTCAAAGTTTTCTAAGTGTGGTCTTACCAGTGCAGTATAAAACGATGCTACCATTTTGTAATAAAATTAGATAGGAGAATTTTGAAGTAATTATACGATAAGTAGCAGAATATGATAAGATTAACATTCATGGCAAAGGTATTTGTACATCATTCTCACATTATTTTCTCCTCCCCTCCTATTAAAAGGCATTCGCTCTATGGTAAATTTTCCTCACGATTCTGTTACCTTGAACTCAGAGAGATGTGATTGTGACATCAGTATGCAATGTGCATCCTGGTTTTGTGAGCACTCCATTTCCATCTTGTTTATATATCTGTTTCTAATGAGCTGGAGCCAATACCTTTCGGGAGTGTATTTGAAAACCTGCTTAATTCATTTGTACAAATTCAATTTCGAGTCCATGATACAGTGACAGTGGAAGTGGTTTTATGGTTTCCGCCATGAAAATCTGCCTTATTGCCTGCATTATTCTAAATAAAAGCTGGATAAAATATCTTTGTTATTTTACTGAGTCTTGCTTTTTATCAGCTGCTGATAATGAAAAAAAAGTAACACGGTCATTTATTTTTCACAGCGGAATGTAAATATCAGTTCCAGGCATGGGGAGAGTGTGATCTAAATACTGCTCTGAAGACTCGAACTGGAAATCTAAAACGAGCTTTACACAATGCGGACTGCCAGAAGACCGTCACCATTTCAAAGCCTTGTGGGAAGCTTATCAAACCAAAACCTCAAGGTAAAATCTTTATTTTTAAAGAAATGATTGGGTTAGGGGCTTTCCCATCAATGCTCCTAAATGTAATCCTTTAAAATTTCCGTTTGCCAAGGAAATAGAGTTGTAGTATCCAAGTTTTCTGCGCAAAGGATAAAACTATGGAGGAAGACCCTCAGTGATCCAGGGCATCATGCTTTCACAGAGAGGTATTTGGATGGCCCAAAGAATAAAGGAATTTAGAGAGTGTCCATCTGTGTGTGTGTCAGAGAGAGAGAGACAGAGACAGAGACAGAGAGAGACAGACAGACAGACGGGAAGAGAGAGAAAGAGAGAGACAGAGAGAGACAGAGACACAGAGAGAGACGCACAGAGCAAGGCAGAGACAGAGAGACAGAGGCAAAGTGAGACAAAGACACAGAGAGATGTTTGTATCTATTGTAACCCCTTGACCGAAGATTGGTACACACCTTCTATCTGGGATGGATGTCCTCTTCCACTGAGTGTGCAGCTTCAGGAGGGACACACATGGAGCGGTGATGGAGGAAGGGGACACCTGCCTAGTCATCCAGATCAGCCAAATCAACCCTAGCAACAGATGTTGCAGCCAGATCACCCTCACATCCTGTATCTATCTATCTATCTATCTATCTATCTATCTATCTATCTATCTAT